GCCCATCTTGCTATCGAAGATTTGAGAATAGTCGAGAAGGAAGTGAATACTACTGGTGATGATTCTTCTAACAGAATGACGTTTTCCGAGCTCTTCTCTCTCTCTTAAGACCATTACCCCACTACTACTTTTTTTTCTAGTCGCCACGACCGCCTCCCTCCATTTGCTGCTTCTTCAACCTCCACTTAGATTTTTAGTTTGTTAAGTGTATATAATATACAATGATTTTTTAGTATAGGTTCAAGAATTTGATTCATCATTATTATACGTTTTTTAAATAGTGCTCGCGATACTATACTACTTAGTTGCATAATACGACGTTGGAAGCGTTCTCGATCTCGTGCAAGCTTCCTCGAATCTTTGTCTTCAATAGGAAGATGATGAATTTGAATATTATCCGAAAACCATACATGTTTCGAAGCACAAATGCTCTTCTTGTTTCTTCTAATAGGCGCCATGATGAATCACAAGAGGATAGTCTTGCTATAGCTGTTTTTTCTCACTGAATGATGGTAATGCAAGCTATGCATCCTTCTTATGAATATATTAGAACTCGAATGATTGCCCTCTATCGGAACTTAAGGTTAATTATAGGAATAGTGAGAGTCCCAACCTTTACTCTCACCTCTGAGGTACTTCCTTTCGAATCGTCACTCATGAGTCACCTTTACAATGAGATACAATTCATTGGAAAGGGCTACATTATGCACTTCTTTTACCTCTCCACAAAAGGAAATAAGAGGATAGTTAAATAAAGGAAAAAAAATACTATTCGATGAGATATATTTTTTTTATTATTTATAGTGGAGCTATTTACATTAGTATTATAATACATTAATTATTATTCGTTGAAGATACAATTATGTTTAAATTCAAAGTTTGAACCGACAATATGATAAATAAACAGCTCCTCCTGCTCACTAGTCTGGTGCAGGTTTTTCAGCATTTCTTCATCTTTTTCAAGAACTATATTTACTCTTTTAGAAAGTAACACCTCAAATTCATCATCAATCGTAATGACAACGCTAAATCCGTATTTCGTTGTTAATCATCTAACTTTTGTAACTTGGTATAAAGTATTCAACGTAAGTTGAAACATCACCTTCCGAGGAAGGAAAGTCGTCTTGGAAACCTTATTTATTGCTGAGAAATCCGTTCTGTAAAATAAAAAATCAAGGAATTAATTATTTATTTATTACTAAGGTATTAATAAACTAAAGTTATTTAAATATCTTACTTGTTTCAATGGTAAGTAGAAAATCTATTGGAGGTCGATAATAAGACTGTTGCTTGAGCGAGAGCTGAACATCTGTGTCGAACAAGAGCGAGCTCTCGGTTTTATAAGTGTCAACCCCACTCTTAAAACTCAAGCCGCCGTCGCCGCTTCCCTCTCTTTCAGTCTGCTCTCTCTCTCATGATTCTTCATCTAAAACCATTCTCCCACTCTGTAGAATCTGATATCTATTGTTTCTCCCTCTCCATCACTAGTCATCAGCGCCATATAGTAACTGTCGAAGGAGTAGAATTCTTTCGCTAGTGCTGCCCTCTAGAATTATTTTCTTCAATTCTGGATCTTCTCATATTACTATTTCCTTCTATCACTTCGTCTTCTTCTCTATACCTCTTTCTTCGTAGCTGTTCAACTCTTTCATTTCGGCAATTTCGAGAGTTTTATAATGCCCCCATGGAAGTATGTCCGAATTATTATCAAAAATACAGCGTTTATCATCATGAGGGCATAGTGCTGTTTTTTCCTCTTTCTCTCTGTTATTACTTGATATAATTTAGATCGAATATTACATTGGGTACGTTTAAAAATTTCTATTTCGTTTAAACAATTTCGATAATCTGAGTGATTGATTGTATTTTTAACTGTATGTTTTTTCACTGTTTTTGCCTTTTTCAAGGACTCCTTATTTATAATTTTGATACTGTATAGTTTACTTCGTAACCCAATGTACTCTCTCATAATAGCAGTATTGCACTCATCCTTCATAACACGGAGAACTTTTTTGTTAGATAGAGGTATACTGAATTGATTATCGGCAGGATAGTCTAATGTGTCAAATTTATCAAAGTCTACTTTCATGATCTCATACATATCGACATCTTGAATTTCACAAATGAGGCTGTCAGTATCACGATAAAGTAATTTACATTTTTCACCAATTCGTTGCTTCATGTATCCACAATGAAGGTCATAGACTAATGTTTTTGAAAGATCTAATACGCATAGACCGATGTATATAGGTTTTCTAATACTGATAGTTATCCAGGATAATTGAATAGCAGCTAAATTTCCACGAAAGATGGAACTACTATGGAAATTTGGTCGGGCAATTCGTGCTTCAGCGCCATATCTACTCCTCCATTGATTGATCAGTTAAACATCTTTTCTATTCCTTTCGTATTACATCGTTTTTTCATATACTGCATTAATCATGAGCTTGTAAAATAATTTTTCAAACTCATTTTTAGATTGCTTTCTTTTTTCAGTATTTAAATCAATATATGGTTTCAGTCCTAGCTTTTGTTTGAATTCTAGCGCTCTATATATCTTTTTGAGTTTTAATTCATATTTGACAGCTTGTTTTAATGCTCTTTAATGAATAACGTATCGTTCTTTGTCATAAAAAGTTGTCAAAAGTTTTTTCTGTTTTGATCCAGGTGGTTTAGTATGTTCGGAACAAGGAGGTAGGTCTTTATGATCATCATGTAGATCTTGTGGGAACTCTAGGTCTACTTCTAAAATATAGCCGACGTCGCTATCATCAGAGACATTAAAAAAATTTGATATATCCACATTTGAAACCCATTTGAAGCCCTCAAATGGTAGTGATTGAGTAATAGCCCAACCATAAAGGTTGTTTACGTTATAATACATTAAAATTTTATTTGGCTTATCCTTATTGAATTCTTCACCCATATATTTATTGTCTGCTTTTGAAAATCAATTGCAGCATTGACTAATACCTCCACGAATACCTTTTTGAATGAATAAAACCATATCTATATCTATTAATAGTTCAAGCTTCATATTTGTATATTTTAACATCGCGTCCCATGTTAATCCACGGGTAGGGTAATAATGAGCTGGATCGAGATCATATGCATTCTTACAGCTTGATCGAAATGATGATAAGTTTTCCATAAATTTTTAATTGTTTCTTCAAAATAGGCGATAGAAGTCATGTTATTAGTTATCTCGTTTTTATTGTCTTGTAGAGTTACTTATCTGTAGTTGTATAAAGGATTATTATGATGAGAGGATGGAAAAGGTAGCGAACAGGTCTGAAATGAACTCGTTCTCAGTTGGTAATTAATATTGGTTTATTTATCAAGTCAATAAGGATTAAACTAACTACTGAGAAACTACTTGCAAATAGGGTAAGGCAAGCTTAGCTCGCAGACTGTCTGGAGAGACTGCGCTCTTTTGCTAGGCCTTATAAAGGTTAAGTGAGGGCGCTGCCAGCAAACTGAGAGCGCTGCCTACAAAGTGAGGACGCTGCTTGCAGAGTGAGGGCGTTGCAAGCAATACTATTATCTCTGTAGGTAGTATATGGAAGGGATATTTGAAAAGTAAACCTTAATTTATTTTGAACTAGTTTACTTGGTGACGGTTTTTGTGCCTTCAGAGACGGCGTGCTTGGCAAGTTCACCAGGAAGAAGAAGCGTGACAGCGGTCTGAATCTCCCGAGATGCGATGGTCGATCTCTTGTTTTAATGAGCCAGGCGAGAAGTTTCTACGGCAATGCGCTTAAAGTTATCGTTGACAAAACTGTTCATAATACTCATAGCCTTGCTAGAAACGCTAGTATCGGGATGAACCTGCTTTAAAACTTTGTAGATGTAAATGGCGTAGGATTCTTTTCTTTTCTTTCCGCGCTTCTTCTTATCTCCTTTGTTAATATTTTTCTAGGCATTACCAGATTTTTTAACTACCTTGCCGCTGGATTTACCAGTAGATGCCATGATAACTGACTACTTTGAACGTTAACGAGAACGAGTAAAGCAACGACGTCTAAGCATAGATTTTGGATGCTCATTGCTTGAAAATCGTTACTCTATTCTTCTTATGCAAACATTGATTACAAGTTTAACTGCGTTTAACGCTCTCTCTGTCTCTCTCTCTCTTTCTTGTAGATAAAGAATCTGAGAAACGACCTCGCCAGTCATCCTGAGAACTACGGGAAATACGAGAGATTTATACATAGGTCTGTGATCTTTCTGTTTTCTAGACTATAGTGGAGATCTAAGCATAGGTCTGTGATTCACTACTATACGTCACATATGAAGAAGCTGAATACTTTTCGGAAATATTTCATATTTTATCATTTTTATCGTGGACTAATAAAAAAATTACCGAAATTCTTCCCGTGTTCCATATATGTTATCAAAAAAGTATGTAAAATACATGACATATTATTCTACTTTCTAGCATGTATCCGTGCTTGTATTATCGATAATGATATAAAAAAAACCGCATATGCTGACTCAGACTTTATCAGAAACATTTAAACTTTTTGAAAAGCACTTTCCACATATCAAAATTAGTGTTTCATCATTGTGCGATAATCGTTCTCGTAAATGCCTTTTAACACAACATTTAAAGGGAGATTTTAACCTCTAGGTATGTACATTTACGTCACGCTAAATGAAGGATAATATTGAATGGTCTAATTCCACATGTAAAGTTAATGAAAGACGAATAAGCTGTACAAACTTGAAAATTATTATGTTAAAAAAAATAGAGTATTTTATTGTAATTAAAACACTTTTCGGATTGTTGGACACAGATAATAATAGATATGTATATATCTCTTAGATAAGATAATAAGAGATATATACATATCTGTTATTATCTGTGTAAGTATACATCTGTGACTGCTCGACAATCTATTCACAGGCAATTGATTCATTTATTTGTATACATATTGTATTATTGTTTATTTATTAATGTTGTATATAATATGAATATTAAATTATACGACATTTTTCAGAATACAATACTTAACAAGTTCACACTTTAGCTATTTATCATCTTATACCATGCAGTATACACTATTCATGGAAACTTGTACAATCCTATGCTTGTTTGCTGCAATGAATGATGCTGTTGTTCCAAATATTAAAATCGGTAACTATCTATATTATTGAAAATTTCTATAATAATCTTTGAATTTTCCAATCTTATAAAAAATATATTTTATCATGAGTGAATAAAGTGAATAAAGGTGACTGGAAGTGTCCTACAATGTATGTGGTAGTAAATACATATGGCTTCTATACTTAATTTTGTATTGAGAGTAGAAAATTAGTTTATTTCTTATCTACCTCTTTCATTCTTGCCTTTACTCTTGGTAAGGCATAGTGACTGACGTTGGGCATAATGTAAGCGTCTATTTATGCATACTTTCTTTCAGCTGCCGATGCTTATCGATGAGTGGTATAAGAAGTCCAAAGATTTCTGACAATGGGAAAAGAGAAATAGAATGAGAGAGAGAGGCAGCGAGAGATAGGTCCACACAGGCCTGCGACGTGTGGCTGATAAGAGCTGCGTCGCATATCACCGAAAAGTAGAATGTAAAAATAAAAAAAACAATGGTTAACAGTTTTAGGTAAGAAAGGGTTTATTCTTAGCACAACGCCTATCAAGAGAGCTGCGTTTTTTTCTGGCTTTATAAAATACACCGTGGATTTTATTGTGGAAATGATCTAGTCTCATTTTTCATCTGCAAGGGAAATATTAAAAGCACCATGAGCAGAGGAACAGAGGGTTACGCTATCCTATTTCTTTCTCCGTTGGCTCGTTAACGTTTCGCCAGACATAGACATCTTTATTTGCAATCCAGTGAAGAAGAAAGAAGGACACCGTCAGTGCTATTTTATTACCACAGTATCTTCGGTATTTAAGTATTAAGGTCAGGCCATTAATTTATCTCTTTCATTAAATCTCTTTCTCGTTATAGCAAACTCGTAGCTGCGTTAGAGTAAGTTTAGGTAATATTGTGGGTAACAAAGCGTTCAATCACCAGATACTATGCGTTTCATTGCTCACAATCAACTCCTTAGGTTAAGTTACTGGTGACAGCTATAAGCAACCAAGGCATTAATTCGCCAGGCAGCTTAGTTTTCTTCGTCAAGTAATTTGTTAAATTTTAGGTTCTCTATATTTTGTCTCATTTTAATATTTGAAAGTGCTCGTTTGTTTGTTTATTGAATATAATATAGATAATTTTTTCATTCAATGGTATAAGAAATCATTTGATTTACCCTCTTCTTCTTACCCTGTGGATTCCTAAAAGGAAGTGTGCCTTTTTTACTCTTCTTTTTCTCTTGTGGGGATATAAAACGATCGGTCGGGTATGTAAGTAACGGTGAAATTAATGTGAATTCCCGCAAACATATATTAAGCTGTATACTAAGTGGAATATACTTTATATTTGATATATTAAGTTATATATTAGGTGTACAAATAAGTTTTGAGGGTTTTTTGTAACTTTGATGCTTTATTTAGAGAAAATGGTAAACTATATATTATTCAAAGTATTCGCCATCGTTAGACACAACTTTTTCCCATCTCTCAGATAGCATACGGATCCCACTTTCAAAAAATTCCTCATCTTTTAAGGCGATCCAAAAATCGATTCAATTTTTGGATTCTTCGTCAGAAGTAAAATGCTGCTCGGATAGACCATGAGCCATTGACCGGAACAAGTAGTAGTCACTAGGGGCAATGTCAAGTGAATATGGCGGGTGGGGTAGGACATTCCATTGAAGCCCCTCTAAAGTGTCTTTAACGACATTTGCAACATGTGGACGAGAGTTGTCGTACTGAGAGATGATTTTTTCGTGTCTTTTGGCATATTGAGGGCGTCTGACCTTCAATGCTCGGCTCAATTGCATCAATTGTTGTTGATAAAGTTCTCTAGTAATCGTTTCATTAGAATAGAGTAGTTCATAATATATCACTCCGAGCTGATTCCACCAGATACACAGAAGAAGCTTCTTGCTGTGAATATTTGATTTGGCCGTTGAAATTGATGGATGGCCGGGCTTACCCAACGATTTTCTGCACTTTGGGTTGTCGTAGTGGATCCACTTTTCATCCTCCGTTACGATTCGATGCAAAGAACTCTTACGATTTTGTCTTTCAAGCAGTTGTTCGCACATGCAAAGACGACGTTCGACGTCTCTTGGTTCGAGTTCATACAGAACCCAAGTTCCTTGTTTTCGCACCATATTCATGGCCTTGAGATGGTATAAAATCACTTGCTGAGTCATCCCTAAAATTACAGAAAGTTCTTCTTGAGTTTGGTATGAATCTTGATCCAATAACGCCTCCAACTCAGTGTCCTGAAACTTTACTGGCCTTCCTTCGCGTTCTTTGTCGCTGGTATCAAAATCGCCATTCTTAAAGCACCGGAATCAGTACTCACATCTTTTTCTTGATGGAGCATGTTCTCCATATGCTTCAAATAGTAATAGATGTTCATCAACTTCACTTTTCTTTAAATAAAAACAAAAAAGGAGCGCTTCCCGCAATTTGTGTTTTGTTGACACAAAAGTTGATATGGTTAGGATACAGAAATAGTCTATTGTTTATCCTTCAGCTCAATGAAACATACAGATTTTTGGAGGGAAATGATGATACTTTAACGTGAAGATAGTCAAAAATGGTTTGATGGGCAATTCTTGGCTATTTCAAACAGTTTAAAACTTCAAATCACCAATTTTGTTCAAAGTTGGTAGACTTGTTACCTATACAGAGGTCAACATCTGTGCAGAGTTTTAGATCAAAATATTGATAAGGGGCCGACTTATCAACTGTTGAAAAAATATTGGACTTTTTTTTATTAATTCGATTTCTCGGAGACTAATAAAGATATGGACATGATTCTTTTTTTAAAAGACGCGGAAAGAGTTTCACTTTTAAAATGTAAATAATAAATGTAACGGGGGGATAAATCTGCAAAAATGAGAAATTTATTTAAGAACAAACTAACCACGATGCAGAGCAAACCGCCGCTCCGTTAACACGTATGTTAATACGTGTATTCGCCTTAACGTCAGCTGATTTAACTTAGTTGTCTTCGATTAAGCAGAGTTGAACAGACCTTAAGTCACGTGCCTTGTGATACTCGATGAGTTTTAAGTGTAATCGACTTTGCTCCTAATCCACTTAATCCCCTAGCTATAATCGGATTAAAACCTAAGCCTTTTTCAATTGTTTAAACTATTAGGAAAAATTATATGACGAAATCGGCGAATAACTTTAATAGATTTTATTAATAAAAATCTCTACAGTCTTTGTCGGGCCGAAAGACTGACGCACGCGAATAGGATTTACAATTAAATAACTTTCGGTGAGAAAGAGAGAGAGAGAAGATACGAATATTGGCGCGATCTAACGCTCGACGCGAATACAAAAAATTAACGCTAATACGGTTGGGCAAAATACCAAATGTATTTTGTCACGCGATAATTAAGGGAGGTGCACCTACCCTGCGGTGCAATTACGGTGATCAGCCGTAATTGTTGAAGCAAATTAAAGGTGCTCCTCAGATCAGAATCAGCTGTGCTGCCTCGATTGCAAATCTGCTGTATAATTGCTGTCGCTTTTGCTGCTGCTTCCATGATAATGCTACTGTTGCTGCTTCCTCGCTCACCCTTGCACACGTATCCAAAATCCAAGTAATCTTTTTTATTGGCAAATCGTTGGAACACTGTGCTAAACTATTTTGGCGGTACTACACAAGTAACAGCTGAGACGTAACTGCTAATTCAAAAGATCGCGCGCCCCCCCTCTCTCTGAATACTTAGAACTAACGCGCGAAAATCAGAATCGCGAACGGTTCGATTAATTGAATCGACTACCGTTGCATAAAATACCAAATAATTTATTTATGCCATTGTTATAAACAATTTTTTCAAAAAATCGACGATATCTCAAAAAACGATATATTTTTTTTTTTAATTTTTGTACCATCGTATTCCTTGTCATTTTTTACACAAGAACCCGTTGAGAAAATCGTGTGCCCGCTTTAGGATTAAGATAGCACTAAAATGAAACGAACCACGCGCTAGCCGCTCGGCCGCTCGGCCGTCTGCTACTCGTGCGGTTCCAACGTTGCTTGCTGCAATTGCCTTCTTTAAAGAATAAATAATTTCATATTCTAACAGTCTATATGTATTTATTTAAATAATATATAGATGTATTAATTAAGTAAGTAATGTAAATGAACTATTTTTTTATACAATCTGATATAATATTGAAATTAAACATTCGCTCTCTGCGTTTGAGCGGGCTTGAGACCGACGCATATTTAGGATGCGGCCGCATTAAAAATGTTTTTCTATGGGACCTACACCATAATACTCTTAATAAGTTATTTACAAGTAATTTTACAAAAAAAAACCCTTTAAATTATGCGTATTATTTCAAATTCAGAAGAGTATGAAGTTTTTTTTACTTTAATTTCCGTTGTATTGTCATCACTAACTGGAATGAATGCATACAGTGATTGTGTTCCTTGTATAGTAAGAGCATCTATACATGCTACTTTCAAAAATTTCATATTCTTCTTGACTACAGAAAATAAACGTTATTTTAGGCATAACTTGCTTCGCCCATTTGTAAAATTCTGCAGAATTACTTATGATTTTATCGAGCAAGCTTTCTCGTCGAGCTAATCTTTTTATACCTCCACCAATTGCATCACATGGACTTTTAACATGATAACTTGCAAAAAATGCCACTCTGCTCTAAATAGAATAAATGCCGTAATATCGAACTAAGTTTAGAAAATTCATTCTATTTTTATATTGGCTTCCGGCACCATCACTAACATAAATAATTTTTTTTACAGTATTTTGAAATGTATTTTTAACGAATTCAATTAAATTTTTTTGATATTTAGCATAAATTCTTTTTCGTAAGAAATTCAAAGACTTTTAAAGACTTCTAGAAGCTATTACAAATTGGTGTTTATATTTTCTACCATATATTTTTGCATATACGTCATTCTCACGCCCGATCTAACGCACAGAGCAAATGTTTCATTCAATGTTGTTTCAGATTTATATTACTTATATTACTTTACTTATATTACTTTATATTACGTTATATTAAGTAAA